TTTAACTTCAAAAATATCTGTAGGCCCTTATTTTTCTTATGTTTTGTCTTCGTCATGAAAATGGTTGTCCTTAATTTTCTCATGATGCATGTACATTGAACTCTATAGAAGGTGCTTTAGAAATACTTTCAGCTTTATTTATTCATGAAATAGGGGGAAATAATTTTTTTTTAATTTAAGAAAACAAATGTGTGTGTGTAGAACAAGACCCAGATGGATGCACATAGCTTCTATAAAGAATGCAAGATTTTTTAGAATTTTTATTTTTTTTTTAATTTTTTTTATTTAAAAAAAATTTTTTTTTTCAACGTTTATTTATTTTTTGGGGCAGAGAGAGACAGAGCATGAACGGGGGAGGGGCAGAGAGAGAGGGAGACACAGAATCGGAAACAGGCTCCAGGCTCCGAGCCATCAGCCCAGAGCCTGACGCAGGGCTCGAACTCACGGACCGCGAGATTGTGACCTGGCTGAAGTCGGACGCTTAACCGACTGCGCCACCCGGGCGCCCCAAGAATGCAAGATTTGTTAAATTAATTTTTTAATATGCATTCCAGGGTGAGGTTTTATGTAAATGTCTGAGGCTTTGACTAATACTTTTTTCCTTAAAGGTATACTGCCTACTCAGATTCTGGAATTGTTTAATTGATTATAAAAGTTGGTTAAAGTATTCTCTGCAGTCCAGAATTGTCCCATTATAATGAGTGCATGTGTTCTGTTGCTTTTTGTATTATAAATTTTTTAATGTTTATTTATATTTTTGAGAGAGAGAGAGCATGAGTGGGAGAGGGGGAGAAGCAGAGACGGAGAAGTAGGCTCCATCCATGAGATCATGACCTGAGCCAAAGTCAGATGCTTTTAACCAACTGAGCCACCTAGGCACCCCTGCTTTTTGTATTATAAAATCATTTTGTCTCAGTTGTAATTTTATCGTTAATGCTATGACTCTGTTGTAGTGGTCTGAAAAATCTGATCTCAAGAAGGGATTATCTTTTCATTTTTATAATCATATTCTTATATGTAGTAGAAGAATACAGTCTGAAAACTGAAGTATTTCTTTCCTGATTTGAAAATTCAAGGAAATCTTTTTTTTGTAAAATGTTACATAACTTGAGCCAAATTCTTTCGTGACCCACTTTACTTTGTATTATTAGTTGTGTTGTCCATCTTGATATTATATCTATACAGTTTGCTGTCATTTAGAATCCAAGGAATAACATAAACATTAGGGAGTTTTTTTTCCAGAACTAGTAATTTGCATTCTATACAGTTGCTTAACCTCGGTTGAGCCTTTTTTTTTTTTTAATTTTTTTTATTTTTGAGAGAGAGAGTGAGCACAGGCATGAGTGGGGGAGGGGGAGAGATAGAGGGAGAGACAGAATCTGCTGCAGGCTCCAGGCTCTGAGCAGTTAGCACAGAGCCAGAGGTGGGACTCGAACCCACAGACCATAAGATCATGACCCAAGCTAAAGTTGGATGCTAAACTGAGTCACCCAGGTACCCCTCAGTTGAGTTTTTTAAGACTACATAGCCACCATACCAACAGTGTAAAGCAGGAACAATCAGATGATTCAGACATTAAAGAATAAAATAAAACATATTTGACTTTATATTTTTACTGGAATTTGCTAAGTAACTATATCATATCTCCATTGATTTTCCTTTATATATGCCTGCTGTTTCAATTAAAAAAAATTTATTTAAGGTTATTCATTTAGGATGAATGAGGAAGCTTCAAGTAAAGAATGAAGATTTCATAGAGAGGCAAGGAATTCGAATTTTTAACCTCTGAATTTTTATTCTGGTTTTAACATTTTGATGTAATTTAAAAATCATATCATCCTGTTTTGTTCTAACTTGTGAGGTGTTTTACAGTGACTTGAACTGAGTTTTTAAAATGTATTATTGGGGCACCTGGGTGGCTTGGTCAGTTGGGCATCCATCTTCAGCTCAGGTCATGATTTCATAGTTTGTGGGTTCGAGCTCCATGTTGGGCTTGTGCCGACAGGCCGGAGGCTGCAGCCTGCTTTGGATTCTGTGACTCTCTCTGCCCCTCCTCTGCTCGCGCTCTGTCTCAAAAATAAATAAGCATTAAAAAAAATTTTTTTTTAATAAAAATGAAAAAATGTATTATTTTTTTATTCACTTACTCATCAAATGTAATGAGTGCCTGCGTCATATGTTTGGCTCTGGGTGTAGTGGTAAAAGCAAGTATTTGTCCTTGTGGAACTACTGTCTGTCAATTTAACAAAATAAAGAGACTGTGGTAGATAGTGTTAGACTGTTGAAAGATGAACACAGTTTAGTAAGCATATCTAAATGAAATTTGAAAGTCAGTTTAGCTATTCATAAGAATCCAGTCCACAAATGTGATTACTTATATAGTTTTAATCTCATTTCTGTTACCAAACTCTTAACACAGCATTTACTCCAAAAGCAGGTGCAGTTAATATCCAAAGCAGGCCACAAAGCCACAGCAGTGGAGAATTTAGCCTGCTTCATGATCATGAAGCTTGGTCCAGCAGTGGTAGCAGTCCAATCCAATACTTGAAAAGACAGACCAGATCAAGTCCAATGCTCCAGCACAAAATGCCTGAAACGTTAGAGAGTCGAGCACATCACAAGATCAAAACTGGTTCTCCTGGAAGTGAAGTTGTTACTCTACAACAGTTTTTGGAAGAAAGCAACAAGCTTACCTCAATACAGGTTAGTTTTGTCTATGGTAACATTCATTTAGATGGACACTACAAGTTAAAATTCTTTGAACTATAGAGCTTCTATCAAGACATGTTTATAAAGAGATACTAGCAATTTTATATCACACAGTGTAATATATCAGGAAAGTAAAAGCTTGGCTGCATTCACTAATCTGCTGTGGTATCTTTTTTAACAGATAAAGTCCTCAAGTCAAGAGAATCTTTTAGATGAAGTAATGAAAAGTTTGTCTGTCTCTTCTGACTTTTTGGGAAAAAACAAACCAGTTAGCTGTGGTCTGGCCAGGTCAGTAAGTGGAAAAACCCCAGGAGACTTCTATGATAGACGGACAAGTAAGCCTGAACAATTTATGAGACCCAGTCCTCGAAAGACTGAAGATGCCTACTTCATTAGCTCTCCAGGAAAACCTACCTTAGGCACTCAAGGAAAGATAAAATTAGTGAAAGAAACTTCTCTGTCACGACAATCAAAAGATAGTAATCCTTATGCCACTTTACCTCGTGCAAGCAGTGTGATCTCTACTGCTGAAGGAACTACTCGAAGGACAAGCATCCATGATTTTCTGACCAAGGACAGTAGACTACCTATATCAGTTGATTCTCCACCAGCTACTGCTGATAGCAACATCACTGCAGCATCTCGTGAGTACCATTTACTCCAGTGGTCCTCTCATGCACCTCACAGTACAACCCATGCTGTGGGTTCTCATGCACAAAACAATTCAGCTCCAGATAAGCCCAAGTCGCTATATGCCCAGGCTAGAAACTCAAGAACAGAAAAGTCACATTTTCTAAACGAAACCTTTGCCATTATTAATATGTCTAATGATGCATTTGGAATATCAGCTAAAGATAGCGTAGAGTCATTTACTATGGCTAATCCATCTCAGCCATTTTTATCTCTGAATACAGAACTAGTTAGTAACATAAGTGGGTTACCTCCCAGGCCAATCGCCAGAGTAACTGACCAGGCTTCTGCCATTTTGGATAAAGCTGCAAAGAAAGATAATGAACAGTTTTCTGATAATCAGAACCCTAGTAACAGTAACCCACAGTCTTCTGCAGATAGCGATAATCTTATCACTACTGCATGCCTCTATCCTGATGACACAGAATCTGCATTGTTGGTTTCTGAGGATAATCAGACTGTTTGGTATGAATATGGTTGTGTATGATCAAAACTGCACAATATAATACTGATGTTACTTGATATGCACTGTGCTTCTCTAATCTGATTTGAAGAGCTGCTGTTGAAAAGTACCATTTGGCTAGGCTTATACTTTTATTTTTAAATTGTGGCATAGTGTTCATTTGTACATGACGGCATGTATATAAATATGAATGTGTAACCACACCAAAGCCTGCATGAAATATTAATTACATTGTACATTTTTTGCATGACTTTAAAATCCTTAACAATACATGCTCCTCTTTCTCTTTTCTTGTCACCCAATAAGAGATTGTTACTTTGATACCTTGGAAGCATATTAAAATAGTTGCATGCTATAATTACCAAGAAGGCATTTCCAAGTCATATTTACTTTGTTACTCCCAAAAAGGAACGTTCATTTTCTCCTTCCCTCCTCTTTGCTCCTCTTCCCTCGCTGTTCTTTTCACTCCTTCTCCCCCCCAAATGTGCACTTCACATTGCACATGTACAGCATTAAGGAAAATACGTAAAAAGATGTCATTTTCTTTTGCCATTTAACTATGTCTTCTGTCCTCCTGTTTTATTTTCAAAGAAATAGTCACTCCCTTAACACTTTTGTAGCAAATGTTAACTACTGCCCATATTTATAAACTTGTTCAGATTTAGAACATTGTTGTTACTCATAAATTGAGTGTAATTCTTTAAAAACCCCATCAAATTTACCTGTTACTTACACAGTGACTAGGAGCATTTGTATTAATTGTGTTTCTTCTCTTCACTTTCCTTCATCTGTTAAGTGTAAGAGCTCAAGGACCATCTTTCCTTCAAGATGACTTTTTAAATTGGAATCAATTAATATATTAGTTTTGCCAGTTCTTTTTTTATAGGGTAAAAGAAATAAATAATAGTGTGTTGAAAATTTGCATTTTTACTTCTGTTCAAAAAGGATAGCAAGTTTACAAAGTAGTAAAGATTGTTGCTTCAATAATCTATTAAATTACGTGTCTGTCCTTAAAATAATTTCTTAAAAGAGTACATTGTGCTAAAATAAAATTAATGTTAGAATTTGTAACTATTTAAATAAACAAGTGTGTTTTTAGTGGAACAAATTTTAGAACTAAAAATAAACTTTTAGCTAAAAAAAATAACCATATAAGATAAAATATTTCATAATTCTGACTTAAGTGTCAATAAACTTTAAAATTATCTTGCTGTGGTCAAAACACTTTTAAAGTAAAATAAGCTAAACTTGAATCTCTAACTCCCAGAATTTTACAAAACAAAACAAAACATGTACTTGATTCACTTACTTCTGGAGAGAAGTATACCTTAGCTCTTTCTCTGGAATGTTTTTGACATTTTGATTCAGCCTAAATATTACTGCTAATAACTCAGCCTGGCATCTGGAAGAAATGCTTTGAAATATAACTTTCTAAATGGGGGTGAGGGGGATTACTATTTCATACATGTTGTTATATTAAATTATTATGGTTATTAATTGGGCCGTGGAAATAGAATCTGTAAAGAATCTTTGCATAATGAAATTTGTATCCTTTGTAAATTAAACTATTCTCTTGTACTTACAAAAGGTCATTGTGGGGGCACCTGGGTGGCGCAGTCGGTTAAGCGTCCGACTTCAGCCAGGTCACGATCTCGCGGTCCGTGAGTTCGAGCCCCGCGTCAGGCTCTGGGCTGATGGCTCAGAGCCTGGAGCCTGTTTCCCATTCTGTGTCTCCCTCTCTCTCTGCCCTTCCCCCGTTCATGCTCTGTCTCTCTCTGTCCCAAAAAAATAAATAAACGTTGAAAAAAAAAAATTTAAAAAAAAAAAACAAAAGGTCATTGTGGGGAGTAGGCCCTCTCCAATCAGAAAATTTTCATATTTTTTACTATCACCTAATATACTTTTTCCATGAATACATCCGTCTGTTTTATTGCTGGTTGTTTCACAGTCAGTCCTAACATTAAAAATGTTTTTGGCATCTCTTTTTTATAACCTATTAATAACCTAATAATAAAACTTAATGGTAAATATAAGTGAGATTAGATTGGAGCCAAATAGATTAAAATGGAATAATTAGTGTTACTACTTTTCCACTTTGAGCCAAGAATTATTTCATCACCATTTCAACTCTTTAGATATTATATATCTGGCCATGCACTTTAAATTTGAAATATTAAATTTATTTATGCAAAATACAGAAATTGTTGTATCATAAAATTGTGATTATTTTACAAAATTAGACTTACCAGAAAGAAGTATTTCCAATACAAACAAATGGCTATAGTTTATAATTTATATTATAACATGTTTTCAAAAGGAACATATACATTGTACTGTAAGACAGGTCCATACCATGTCCATAGGTCTTGAGGATTTTGAGAATACAGGCTACACTTCCTCTAGAGACTACCACCAGTTGTGGAGGCCTAAAATTTTTTCAAAACACTAGCATAGCACTTGGAATCAAATTTTTAGCATGGGAAGAACCTTAGAAATATTATTCAGCCAGCATTTCCCATGCTGTAAGAAATCAACATACTACTTGCTATGAGTCTTACAAAGAAGCACCAATATTGTAACTTTTTAATTTTTTTTTTAAGATAAAAATGAAGCAACTCTGACCCAGTTGAGCAGCTGTACTTTCTTCCTCTAAGACATCTCATAAATATCTTATGATTCATAAAGGGTTATTTGGAAAACTATTTGGAGATTCACTACCCTGATTTTAGATGAAACTGCATGGCATTCACATTCCTGGCCTGGGTTTCTAGAAATTATACCCTTATTATTTGTCTGACATTGTAAACTGACATTGTTAGGTATTGGGTTCCCTTTGACCAAAACAACTTTAGCTGTAACAGTGAAAGTAGGTATATTATTTGCCTATAAAATTTGCCTTAAGACCTGGTTTTCTCAGTAAATAAATACTTCATTGTGGATGTCTCTGTGGCTGCATGCAAGATTATTTTTTACTTTAAAACTATTTGTGACTATTTAGTGAATAAACATAGTAAGAGGACACAAGTATATTATTTCTGGCTTTTAAACTATAACAATCAGTCTTTATGTAGTAAGATGTCTATAATATTAATAAATTTCCCAGTTAGATTCTTTCTTCTTGCCCTACTCAACAAGAGCTCATTAGTTTCTTATCTTCATGAATTAAATTATGTTTAACGTTTGATTAAATAACATGAAATGCTTTTCTCCTGCAGATGTGGACAAAGTACAAGAAAGCAGAAATTCAAAAAGCAGGTCTAGGGAGCAACAAAGCTCCTAATTCTATTACCCACTACATGACATGTGGGCCAAGTGGTGAGTTTCTTCCTTACAATGTAAATGAGATTAGTCTGTCTCATTTATACAAACTAACCGTGTTACGTACAAGAACAAGTGCACATTGCATTAACAGATGTAAATATTGCTTGCTTAATTCATGACTTTCTGTCCTACTTACTAGTTGAGGAAGATTTATTGATTGATGTAAGCTTTTGCCTATCAGTGCAGGAAACAAACCTTTAAAAATTATTTTTATTTTTTTTTCTTAATTTAAATTTAATTTTACTAGTAAATGTTTTCGGAATTCCTTTTTTAATTTGAAGTTGTTTTTTTTTTTTTCTTTTATAGGAATCCCCTCCCCCCCCCACCCCCCACAATGTTCTTGATAATTGAGAATAAACAGTAAATTACGTACCTTTTCTGTGAAGAGCCACTCAAAGAAAAATTGTCTCTTTCTGTCACTCTCTCATTTCTATAGAAGACCTATCTGGTGCATGTTGTTCATATAGTGCCTGCTCTGTATTTTATATCTCTCTTATCTTCAAGCATTTCTTACATTTTCTTTCTTCTTTCTACCTTCCAACTAAATACAGAGAGAAAAGTGTCCTTCAGTTTCTCAGTGTGAAGCCTTTATTTCTGAAGTAACAAGACACCCAACTATAGGAATCATTTTAAAAATCTTTAAGGAGACTTTAAACAATCCTTCGTGACTAGAGCAGGGAAGAAATACAAAACCTTCATTCCTTCCTTGAATCAAGGAGCACTACTGGAGTCAACTGCCAAAATTTTTAGAAGGTTTTAGGACTTACTATACATTGTATTGTTAAGATCTACTGAATAAAGGATGTTCTCTCTCTAAGGACCAAGTGTTTTAAGGTTTCAAGAAGTACTCCAAGAACAATCTACTTCTTTCGTCATTTGTTTATGAATTTATCCATGTTTGCTTAATGCTTCTGCTAAGTATTAGCCAGAATCTAGCCATTTATATTTAGTTGTGTAAATCTAAAATGCTGTATGTTGTGGAATGTACTATATATCAAGATACAGAGAACATTGTTTTGGCATGTCAGAGCCTTATTTGGTTAGCAGACTGCATGTGTTGGTATTCTTTTTTTTTTTTTTAACTAATTATTTTGATGCACTGCAAAAGAAATTCAGTTTATAAGATAAATCTGAAAAATAGGAGTTATAAAAAATTTACAGTAATATTAATATTTCCATATTCCTCATTAAGCAACACTAAGCATTCACAATCCAAGGTAATTAAAGAGAGTGTTTTTCTGAAACTTTTTTAGTAAGGTGGTTTTCCAGCAAATTGCATTCCCAAGATAAAACTGTTGTGTTTTAATTCATTTCCCTTCTTTAGTATTGGGTTATATATGTGTGTTTGTTTTTTTAACATGAGAGCTGACTATTGCTTAAGAAGTTTTCTTATGGCAAAAAAATGTAAATAATTTACTATGATCTGCATTTTGCCAGGAACTCATTTATTTTTAAGGTTATCACATATTAATAACAACTTTTCTGTTTTTGTCCTTTATAATATTGCATTAAAGTTGGTAACTGTTATTGGTACTTTTGAAATATTTGTATGCATTTGTTACCTTAAACATTTGAAAGAAGCACAAAAAAAGTAGATTTAGTTAACCCAGGGAAACATCAGTTTTTTTGTAGCTCCAATTTTATATCACAGTTTTATTTTCTTATGAAATCAAAAAAGGCATTGATACTTATTAATGCAAATTCATTATTTAACATAAATATCAGAATAATCTTAAAGGTCTGAAATGAGAAAGATAGTGACTTTTTTATTTTAACAGTGTGCTTCTTAGGCTCTCATTACCAGCTCTAAAAAATCTTTTTGGAACAACTCCATATTCATAGTGTGTGGTTTAGGAACTGTGTGTTTCATCACTAACCTAGTAACTGTGAGAAATGTGTATGTTCTCTCCCCCCCACCCCATTCTCTCCTTCCCTCTCTCTCTCTTTCCCACTCTCTATCCCTTTCCCTCTCTGTTTTTGGTAGGCCAGTAGCAGTATTGTGTTCATAGTCTACTTTCAGAAAGACTTACTAATGAAAAGAAAGACAGCATGTATAGTTGACCAGAAATTAAAAAGGAATTTAGAGAACTTGGACTTATCCTAATGCCACCATTAACTTAGGTTTTGCCACCAAATAATGCTGTAAACTCTTGGATGAAAGGTGCTATGTAAATGTAAATACAAAGGATTCTTACTAAAATACAAATATTGCACAACAGACATATTTAAAACTTAATCTCTAGACTTTGAAACATCTCTCTCCATTGTGACTCCCTAGATTCAAGTATCAAATTGATAATGGGCATCATGGCAGTCTAGAGATACTTGCATGTAAAAAATGTAAATTCATTTTTAGGTGGATAAATTGAAAGTAAATATAGAAGTTATGTTTTAGCTAAATACAGTAAGTGGGTAACTTAGATTTATATTAACTAGCATCTAATTTGCACAACTAGGACACATCCCAGGACAGTTACTAAAAGTTGGAATTTAATGAGTAGGAGTTTGCCCAGTGAGATGAATCATACCACAGCTTGACCTCTCCAGAACACTAATGTCCTAAAATAGAGAACCTGTTGATTTAAGCAGCACATTATTGCTTCATGCAGAAAATGCTTAGGGACAACCTATATAGTACTGAGACTCAGTGTGCTGACCCTGAGAAAGTGCAGTTAGAGACAACCAAGGAAATACTTAAGACCGCAAAAGTAGGAATATTCTCAATTATATTCATAACCTTTTTCATACCATTTCAAGGAAGGACTAGATAATAACCTCATGAATACTTTACTTTCTCCAAAAGATTCAGAAGCAAACTTACTAGGAGGTCACTCTTTTCCCTTCAACTGCTTCTACCAAACAAAATGTTTGGCCACCTAGAAACTCAAGGGGGCCTGACATGCTTTTATCTGGCTGTCTTCTAAATCAACACCTAACCCCTTAGGAAACTGAAAAATTAATATACAGGGTAATAGCTTCGGCAAAGAGCTCCAATAAAGTGCTTCAGATCTGGCCATGTGGAAATGTTTGGTCCACGTTTTGAACTGGTGGTTACCAAAGAGTTCATGTAACAGGTTTGTATGTAGCACCTTTCATGCAAGGCATGGTAAGAGCCTATTAAAAAATCACTGTGCATATTACAGAATTGCAGCCACCTCACAAATGAAGTATTAGAGCCTGCACTGTCTTAACAGTTTATGTCAGGAAGTGAAAAAGATACTGTACCAAATCTGGAATTACAATGAGGAGTAATAATGTATGCTAAATGACTTTGTGTTTTAAGTGACTTTTTATGAGAAAAGTGAATTTTTGTGTTTTTTTCTGCTTCACTTAGTCCTGAGATGTATTTTTTCTTTAAGCCTTGAATGAGTAATACAAAAGGAGCCCATTTTGTGATATAAACCTTGATGTACATGTTGAGATATTGGGACAACAATGAAAATGCCTTAAAAGGAATGCTTATGGATAAAGTTGCACTTATAACAGCACCCTTTAACAAAACCTGATTTTAAATTGTCTTTTTCATTTCTAAGGGTTCTCTTTCAATGTTTGCCATTGTACTTAAAACTGTTATTAAATACCAAATCAAATAATACAAAAGCTGTAACATTTCCTTTAAAAGTAATGCTACTAAGGGATTTGGAGTTGAATGGCAGTGATTTTTAATTGACAATACCTATTATCAGCCACAGAAATCCAGTTCGTAACAAACCATCATATGGTTGATTTGTCTTTTTAAAAACATTTCATTACTTTTTAGTTAACTTTATTACTCCTAAAAAAAATTAAGTTGGTTTAACATTCACTTAAACTGATGGATACAAAAAGAAATAAAACAAAGAGGTGATTTTTATAACAAGTGGTTAATAATCATTTAAAAATCGTAAGATACAATTTAGCTAAGTATGATCTTTCCTTTTCCTTTACCCTGGAAAACTTTTTTTCAGACATAACCCATAACTTTGTTTAGATGATTCTGTCTAAATCTTTCAGGGATGAGTATTGGAGGTTTAGGAAGAGAATCGCATCTATCAGTTCTGTCAATCTTCACATAGGTGTCAATACAGTAATACATTGCAGGAAGCAATTTCATTTTCACGTATGTAAGACTTTGGGAGGCAAAATGTTAGAGAAGGCTCCCAGCTGTGTTTTCTTGGGCAGGTTAGTCTTTCTGAGCCTGTTGTCACTATAAGATGAGGAGGGTACTAACTGCCTTAGTGTCTTTGCCTCTATTATTCATTAAGCCTTCATTTTATGTGCAAATCAACCTAAAATTTCCTCTTAGAGATGTAGTAAACAGTAGGTAAAAAGTAACATGGCACCTTAAAATAAATTATCATTTATGGAAAATATTTCTTAAAATCATTCTTTATAGAAACTCTGCCACAAGTAAACTTGTAGTTCTAATCATATATATCAAGAACTGACAAGTTTTTACTCTCATTTTGCCTTTAAGTAACACAAATTGGTACAGAGTACACTATCACTACCAGATGGAAATTACTTTTGACTGACCAAACAGGATAATATGATTACCTCACGACTATCCCATTTGATTGTACTGGAGGAAAATGTGAAAATTTTCTTGACGAGATCTCTAGACTACTTGTGTAGTTTAGTCT